CACAGCACTGGCATTAAATTAGTTATGCTGTACTGGTGTTAAACACACAAAAAATCAAACTTAAAAATCGATCAACTTGATAACATACAAAGCAAGCAACTCCCATGACCACTGTTATTTAAGATGACTCCTATAAAAGCTCCTAAATTTAATTTTGAAATTTACCAGCAATATAAAAGCAATTAGCATTGTCTATAGCATGAAACATTATACTAAATGCAAATTAGAAAAGACCAGTGTCACATTAGAGGAATATGACACTTTATTCTAAGAACAAGGTTTTTTTCCAGCCTTGACTTTAAAACTGAGTAACAAATGCAAATCTGCTTGTTTTACAGCTACACCATAACAATAAAAATTTTATCATTAAATATGATTTGAGCATAGAAATTTGATTTTTAGAATCTCACACTGAAAAGCACATAAAAACATACAAGCAAAATACTGATTAATTTAATAGCTGTTAACTGATGCAGCCTCTCGGGAAAATACTCATATTTGAGCATCAAAAACTGATGGTGGCAAAATCTGAATCTGTTATGAAAAGTGGTTTCTGACTGCAGAATATCAGATTTATTTATAGCTGTGGCTTCCCTTTACAACTACAACTCTACTTCCCTTTTCATAAAGCAGTTCACATGCCGCAATGAACCAATTATATGGGATTTTTTTCCCTCACTTCCTGGGGTTCAAACAAACCTATTAAAGTCCCGCTGCTCAGTATGATCTTCCTTAGTGATACCACTGAGAATAGGCTGAATTTGAAATCATAGTTTTGCATACCTTTCAAGCTATCAAATAGCAAACAATAAAGCTGAACCTTTTAAATTCTTTAACACATTATTGTGTGTAGAAACCTTCAAATACTGCGATTGAGTAAATCAAACTAATGTGCTTCATAATTGCAATTTCATAAAATACAAATCTTACGAAAATGTCAAAAATGCCAAACGGGAAATCAAATGTATATGAAACAAAGGTACGTTTTTTCTGCTTAAAGAAGAAGGAAATAATGCATTAACAACGCAGAGAAGAACAGCTTTCATTATGACATTTTTTGCCATGTACAAGTTCATTTCATACTTAATAACATCAAATCAGATATAATTTGTCAGCTCTAAAAGGGCACAACTTTGGGCACCTGAGCAGTCTCTGCCCTCTAGTGTTGAGAAAGCAGACGAAATTTCTCAACACAAGTGTTACTACAAAGAGTAGGCTCATGGGGAAAAGTTTTCCATTAGATATCTTTACTGTCTATTCAGCATACAGTAGCAACCCTGAACAACAAAAGTAAGGCATGGCATTTTTGATTGAGACATCAAAGGGCAATTGAATAAAATATGAAATTGTAAATTTTAAGATCTTAATTATGCTTATCAGAGCCTAAAAGTGGAACCCACTAATCCTGTAAAGAGTACAATTTTATAATAAAATATATTTCTTAACCATTTGCATCCGACATTTTTAATACCTTTATTCACGACAAGATGACACATTTTTAGAAGAAACAGATTTTTCTGTTTCATGTTTCCTTTTAGAAGTGATTCAAAAAACTCTCATCTTAAAAATCTGATTTTTCAAAAACAATTAAGTTTTAAAGCTTATTAAATTTTGAACACAAATATGTAAACGGAGAGAAAAACACCCCAACACATTAGCATAACATTTAGTCTTAGTGCTGACGTGTAGTCCATGCACTGTTATATCTTGGGTACTGAAATACTGCATTCCTGTCCAGTAAGTTGGTGCATTTGAACTCTTTCTTAAGTAAAAAACAAACATGGATTTTGGTCTATTGCTAGAGGTGACTGAAGATTCACTTAGCATTAAGAATTTTCTTCCAGCAAAAATTCAGATTTGAAATGGAAGAATCACACATTTGGAGGGAGAAGAAAAAGTGGGGAGCTCACCTTGACAGCAGCCTCTGAACCTCCTTCTTTAAAATCTTCATATTTCATTACTTCAGCCATAATGAATCCCTTTTCAAAATCTGTGTGAATCTTCCCTGCTGCCTGAGGAGCCTTCGTCCCTTTCTGTCAAAGGAAAGACAACAAGAAAATTAATTGCATTTAAGAAGATTGATTGCAGGAAAGAGGTTTCTTCTTTTTTATATGCTTTATGGTTCTGCTGAAACTTTGTTTCACATCAGCTAAAATGCCACACATGCAGCCTGGTGAGCCTCAATACTGGGACACAGACAGTGCCTTTGCCACAGATAAACCAGCTGACATTAAAGAACAGCAGCTTTGTTTTTCCTAATAGGTATCAACAGCAGTATTGATTCTAGAAGCTATGACTGTGTTTTATTGTGAGATTCGCTTCGACCCCTAGCTTTCTATACAGAAAGTGAGGAAGATAAAGATTTTTAAATAACTTTAAATTCTGAATTACTCAAGACTTTCACTTACATTCAAATAATTTCAATTAAAGATAACATTCATAGAGAACAATGTTTGCAATGAGAAATTATGTATGAACGTCAAGCCAAACACATGAGCTTATTTTTATTTCAGAATAATTTCAGTAAGTTTGATATAGAACAAATGAGTATTCTCACCAAAACATCAAGAACTGAATCACTAAAAACTAGAAATCACAGACAACTATACAATAATTTAAGTTTATACAATAGAGAAAAATGCATTATAGCTGCATGCTTTAAATTACAAGGACATACATTCTGTGCACACACAACCATGGAGAGAAATTTGAGCAATAATGGTGACCTAAAGGCTGGTTAATAAAGCATGTTAAAGTGCTAAGGAGTCTGACACTGTAAAGCACAGTTTTTACAATAAAAGATGTATTGGGTTAATATGGCTACTCACTGATGCTTACCTGACTAAGTATCTTTGCACATTAAATCAAAGATACTCACAATCAGTCTTAAGATAAACCAGCTTTCAAATTCTCTAATAAAGAGCAAGCACTTTTCCTGCTGGAAAAAGTGGAAATTCACAATATGCTTTTAAAAACTATGCCAAGAATCAGAATAACAAAATTCTGCTTTTATATTATTTTGATCGCTGTTTCAGGGACTTAGCAAGCAGTTATTGTGTAAACAGAGATGAGAAGAAAAAGCTAAAAAAACCCACACATGCTTCTAAGAAAATAAGTTTAATGTGCTAAAACACATACACAAACATCTGTAGCAGTACTATTAAAAATATAAATTTACAGGAAATTATCTTGATTAATGAAAACAAATTAATTCCAGTAAATGAATACAGCACTGAAACTCATTGCACAGCCTTAAATACACTGATGCAAAAAACAGAAGCTCATAGACTGAACTGCACCTCCAGAAGTTCACATTGTTGCAATTTTTAAAGTAAGAGTTTGCAACTGTACACATTCCAAAATATTTTCTCTGTATTGATCTTTATATTACAACATATTTACATTCAAAGGCAAACCACTACAGCTCAGCTCTTACGGTCCTCTGGGAACAAATTGAATAAATCAGTTGATGCTTATGGCTATAACCAGTCTACATCAATACTTAAAATATATAATATTGTTTCAGACATTACATAAGTTCCCAGACAAATATATAAAACTACCAAATAAACTAGTTCTAAATACTAAAGTCAGTAAGAGACCTGAATTACTGCACACTGATTTTAGGATTTGGAGCCCAACTGTGTATCCACGAGGAATATAATGACGTTATATTGCTTTTATTGCTAAAATGTAATCCCAGCAAAGCACAGGAGGAATGAACCATCCGCAACCCAAACAAACTTAGTGAATACAAAATGAAAAGCAACATCAATTTCACTGCAGACAAACCCAGTCACACAGATTAAGCAAGCACAATACTGGTACGTCTTATCTCTGACCACAGGAGGAGGGTAGACAGATTCTACAGGATGAAGAAATTCAGACTATGTAATAGGCAGAATCAATTGTTACCTGCCTCAATCAATGCAGCTCCACTTTCACTGTTCAGCAGCTCACAAATAATTAAAGTTATCCTGGACAAAAACCTCATCTGTAATGACTAGCTAACCGCCACCATGACAAACTTCAAAGTCAGTGATATCAATCTGAATTCAATAGTGTGGAACTGGATATAGCTGATGAATAAGTATGAATCTTACCCTGATGGTCCATGCACGCACTTCATCTGGGCCTGCAGTGAAAAAGTATTCTAGTTGGAGTGCTGCATATCCAGCCTTAATGATCTTTGCTAAAGCACTGAAAAAAAAAAAAGGAGGAAGGAATCCAATTCATTCAATATATACACATAAAACAGCTAAATGTGCCAAGTAATCAATTTATGTGGAAAGACATCATATATTTTCAAGATACCAGGTCTACTTTTGAACAGAGCAATAATTGCAGTAGCTTTTTACTTTGAACTCTCTTCAGAAGAACAACTTTTTTACTGCAAAATCACAAAGATAGTATTTTGATTTGTTTATTTGGCAACCTACAGAAACATGGGATAAATATAAATCACCCTATCAGGCAGCACTCTTGTCTCATGCAATTTTCAGGACTCCGGGTCATGAAAGCGTATCTGTTTGACTGAAATTCAATATTGAAACAATTTATTAGAGTTCCTCAGAAAATTGTGGCAAAATTTTCTCCACTGTCCTTATTCCCCATAGATGACGAAACAGTTTTGGTGATCATTCCTTCTCAAAAATATACATAACTAATACCTATGTTATAATTAAAACACTGTACAGAGATGACAGATGACAGTTAAAAACTTAATTTAAAATAAATCTTTTCACTCTGTCTCATGGTAAAGAAAGGAGAAGATTCTCTCTTTATAATGGTAATTACTCTGTCATTTATTATTCTATCAGCGCAAGCAATTAAATTACTGCAAGGAAATAGTTGATAATAAAGTGTAGGGAAAATGAATGCTAATTAACCTTTGTGTCATGTTCTCTTCCAGATACTTCTGTTTCTCCTCAGCACTCATATCTTGCAACTTGAGTTCCAAGGCCCCACTAAAAGGAATGACCAAAGCACCCGGGTCGTGCTTGTCCACCCACTCTTTAATTTTTATCAACCTGTAGACAACAAAGGGCACAACATTATCTTGTAGTGCATGCATGGCTGTACCACATTCATTATTATCAAGTAGCACATACATATTCATAAGAATTGCACGGATTTATGATGCCATCTTTTTGTGTATTGCTTTCCAAGGTCAAGGCATTAACAGGCAGCAATTGCTTCAGGTGTACTCCATTAACATTTCACTGTTTCTTGGTTTCTGTTTGGCATTTAATCTACAGAAATAGGCATAATTTGGGACAAACTAGATGTTTGGTAGAGGTTAAATAGTTGCAATCTAAAAAGTGAATAAAACTTGCAGAGAGAAAAAATGTACTTCCAAGAATTATGTTTATCAAAAGTGGTAAAACTGAGGGCCTTCAGTTTTTCCTGACTTTTTTTAATTAAAAAAAAAAAAGCATCTCAGTAGCTAATATTGCTGGTATTAACAGATAGGAAAGAACACGACACTCCTATATAGCAAGCTGCACCTGCTTTTTCTGCATATTGATGTTGGAGTATGCCATGGCTGATCAACACAGTTCCATGTTTCTACTGGTTTTTCCCACCTTTCTGCTGTTGTCCCAGGACAAAGCTTCTGGCTATTATACTATGATTATTTCTAAATACAGAAAAAAAATTCCTATTCATCTTCAGTAACTGGCGGCATTTGCAATAGTTTGCTGTGCATCATTTTTTAGTTGAATGAAACAACAAATTTAGAGCTAAAAACTTAGGGTGTTCGTTTTTGAATGTTAATTACCCTACTAAAGTGAACAAAAGTGGTGGCCTCCTGGCAGCCAGGAGGGCCAACCCTGTCCTGGGGTACATCGGGCACAGCATTGCCAGCCAGGCAAGGGATGTGACTGTTCTGCTCTGCTCTGGAGCGGCCTCACCTCAGGTTCAAGGGGCAGTTTTGGGTGCCACAATATAAGGTTATAAAGCTCTTACAAACCATCCAAAGGCGGGCAACAAAGATGGTGAAGGGCCTTGAGGAGGAGCTGTGTGAGGAGCAGCTGAGGTCGCTTGGGCTGCTCAGCCTGGAGGAGACTGAGGGGAGACCTCACTGCAGTTACAGCTTCCCGTGAGGGGAAGAGGAGGGGCAGCACTGATCTCTTCTTTTGGTGACAGTGACAGGACCTGAGGGAATGGCCTGAGGTGGTGTCAGGGGAGGTTTAGGTTGGGTGTTTGAAAATGTTTCTTCACCCAGATGGACAATACTCTCCTGCACATGGTGTGACTCTTGGGGATGTTTTGTGCAGGGTCAGGAGCTGGACTCAATGATCCCTGTAGGTCCCTTCCAATTCAGAATATTCTGTGATTCTGTGAAAACTTTAGAGCAGTAGATGGTGTTTTAAAAAATCTTTAAACAAAAGCATCATATTAATGACCACAAGTATTTATTGTCAGTTTAAGGGAGACCTTTATAAATTACCTGGGAGGAGTTCACTACTGTTAATAGGACACTATTTCTAAACACGTATGAATGGTAAGAATGACAGCTCTATGCTCAGCAAGCAAACACAGGAGCCATGGGAATACTTCCTGTACACGAATAATCAAATCATAAAACACAGCACTTCGGGTGCCAGTGATGTTTCAGACTTGAAGCACCCACCATACAGCACAGGGCTTTATGCTTGCTGAGTTCTTTTCTTAGTCTTGCTAATCTGCACGATTTAGACTAAGGTTTTAGCTGCTATTATACTAAAGTGCTTTGAAACTGTGGCCTGCAAACCTTTAAATAATCAATGCAAATGTCACTTCAGAAAAAAAATGAACTCAACCACAAGTTCATCAACACACATTTGTCAGAGAAAATAGCAGGGGATCAGAGCTATTATGAGATTAAGTACATGGCCGACTGAGTAGGGTTTTAGATGGTACAAAGAATATAGAAGTTCACTCAACAGTTTTCACACATTTGTTATATAAGGCTGGTCTTCTATCATTTACTTATGTAAATACTCCGTCAGTGTTTCTCAATCCTCATTATACTAATCTTTTCTTGCCTCCAGTTACCCAGTGAAAACATAGTTTGGTATCCAGGACTGACACTGAAACACTATTGCCTTCAGAAACATCTGAACTGAAAATCAGAATTAAGGTGTGGTTCTCAATGGGACATCTGACATTTAACAGCATTTCTAAAACTAACACTTGCAGTTAACTAATTTATTTTGGCTAACAAATTGGATATTGAAGTTCAGAGCTTATAAATGCCAACATTTTACAGAAAATATATCTCAAAATGAATCTACAATTCATAAGTGTACTTCAAAACATGTGTGTACATCCTTTTTAGATTTTTTTTTAAGGAATTATCCAACACTGGTCTCCAGACTAATTAAATAATGTGCCAAGTGAAGAAAGATGGAATGAAATGTGTAAACCCAAAAAAGTGAAATGAGCGTGAAAGTAATGTCAAAAATTTGATTCAAATTCTGTTTGGTAAATATGGTCATCATAACTAATAAACTAAGAACTATTGTGGAACAACAAGATAAGAAATAATTACTTTGGCTAAAACACCAATTCAGAATAATAATAGTCTTAGACTGTCATTTTAACAGCTTTTCTATTGAGTCCTCAGAGGGATTATTTGCATTCCTCAGGTATTCTATTGTACAATTCAGATGAATAAAGACTTACAAATCATTCCTCTACCGCCAGTGTGAGACTTTGATCCAGTGAATACACCATTGTACCTTAACTATAATTGGCAAAAAACCTGACAGTGTAGAGCATCACAAGCTTAATAACAAAGGAGAATATCTCAAAGTGTTGACAGACGATCTTCATAATGCAGGAGCAAAGCTGGTACATTTTACCAATAAATGAGCACTGAGGTCTAAAGGTCTCTGAAGTGACTGACATCAGACCTGCTACAGCCTTGCTGAAAGAACAAGGTAGTGCATCCCACTCTGTACAGTCAGGTTCTCTGCCTAAGTCTTTTACTTTTGTGACTTTCAGTGTCATAGGAATTACTAAAAAGTACCAAGGAATTCCCCTAAATGTAATCAAAATAAAGAAAATACACAAAAAGTAAATATTCAAATATAAATATTGATGTATTTCTAATTTATGTTTTTCCCAAAGTAGAATGCTTAACTAATACTCAGTAAAATAATAGTGCATGTTTGCCTTTCTGTTAGTGATACCCAAGTATGCCAAACAGAACAAAATGGTCTTAACAAATGGTAACAATCAATGTCAAAGTCTGTTTTATTTGAGCACATAATTTTTTCCAAAGAAAATTATGTATGTCTGTAAAAGGACAGCACTAGTACACTCATTTTGGGCCTTTGTTAAGACAAGCAAACCCTGGAGTATCTCTCCATTATTTCATGCTACACTTGAAAATGAAAAAATTAAAAGTATTGGGTTTTACACTTAAAGACTTTTGATACTTAAAAACCCTCACTGCACACTAAAATGTAACAAAATTAAAAGTAAAAAACCAAAAAGTAGAACTGAAAGCACCAATGACCTTGATTAACAGCTGAAACTACTTTAAGAAACAAGGAACCACTTGAGATGAAAACCCTTCTTAACCAACAAACCAAAAACTAAGTGAAAACAGTGTAACAGAGTGGGATTTCTGCTACATCCAACACACTTTCTGGACTAGGGTAGCTTGGTTCCTCGCTTCCCTGTGGAGAGGAGTGTGCCAACAGCAGCTACAGAGGGTTCCTCAATTGAAGTCTGATTGATGCCAGAAAACAGACAAAATATGTTTTCTGAAAAAAAAAATACAGACTCAAGAGAGAGCAATATATCCATTCAATCTGCAATGGAAAGCAGAAAAGCATATTATGACTGTGTAAAAGGCTGATAGAAGAACAAAACCAAGGCAAGTGCAAAAACCAGACCTCATCAACTTGCTAGTGAAGGCAGCACTCAAATTTCTGATCAGGGGAAACACTAAAAGGATTTCAGATGCTCATTTCCACCTAACACTGTGACTATTGTTTGATAAAGACATAAAGAATATCAGCAGCATTATCAGAGTATCTAATAAACTACAGGGGCCAGCGACTTCAAGTGCAGATGGATCAGTACAACTACCTAAGTTAACTCCTGGCACCAAATTAGAATGCAAAAGACCTTGGAGAAAGGTTTAAAAATGAGGGCACTCACTGAGAAGGCCAATAAGCAAAGAGCACCAGAAACAGGAGTTGTACAGAAGAGGGTGCCTTCACTTTAAAATGGTGATGCTTACTGAGGCACAAAAAAACCAAAACCTGCAGCCAACCAAAATAAAAAGGTATAAAAGTAGCAGAAGGAACATTACCTACAAATCAATATTTGAGAGAGTTTCACATGAGAGATCCAGCTGGGAACAGAGACAGAGTTCAGATGGAAAGCTGAAGTAGTGATAGAAGAGAGAAGCTGCAGAGAAAGCTTAAGCTTAGTGGACTCCTGCAAGACAAGATGATCTGAAAAACTGACCCCTAAGAAGAAAGGTGATTTGTGAAAGTATGCTTTTGTACAAGCAAGACCAAAAAAACCATCTAATAACGGAAGAGAAACAATTGTTTTTCTTTTCTACACCTGAACTATGAGTAGAAAATGGCAGAAACAAAAGAGAATATCCAGGAAAAAGAAAATATCAGGCAGTACAAGAAGGAAAGAAACACATGTAGGTAAGATCAAACTAAATGATCAAAATTTACAAAAGACTGAAAAAAAGATCCACACATAGGAATGAGAATAAGAGGACTTACAAATTTCAACAGGATCTTCCTGTTGGCAGTTCTGCAAAAAAGTGATTTTTAAAGGCCTCTATACTCTATCTGTTTAGTGCTTGCTCCCTATTGTTGAAGTTTTCCATAGAGGGAGCCTAAGCCACCTTTATTTTGTTTAAACTAAGTCTATAGGCTGTGTACTGAGAATATATAATCCCTATTTATATCTTTTAAATTTTGGGTAATTTTTCTTTTAAGCTTTCCTTGTAAGCCACATATTACTTCTAACTTTGAACCTTTTTGTTTGGACTCTCTTCAATAGGCCT